AGCACGAGACCCTACGCAGACCATGCGGTAGAGCACACTCGTTTAATGAGCAATGAGCATCGTTTATCCGATCCCTATTCCCCAGCGGCGTGGCCTGGGCCCCACTGGCCGATTTACCCCCCTAGCTGGGGATATAGACCGTTCCCTTCGGGTTTCGAAGGGTGTATCCCCAACTGGACTGGTAACTTGGTGGGGGTCTCGAAGGTGATGAGGATGGGGATGGGGTTCGGTTAAACGATGCTGACACAAGAACATCCAACAAGCATGAAACACATTCCTTGGTTCCGAGCAAAGGGGGACTTCCGTGTTGAGGCTGCAACCAAAAAACGCAAATAGTTCATCCTGCGGCGCATGGCGCGTGGCCCCTCCCACGGACCAGCGACGCCACATGCGACGCCTTCTGCCCGCGTCCAGGACGATTCAGCAAGAACGCGTGCACGAACTCTTGCGCTCCTTTTCGAGACCCCCTTTGCAAAAGACTCCTTCGCCCAAACCCGAATTAGGGCACCCTCCCCGAACCGACCTTGACCCGATGCAGTGGAGGCCAGTCCGCAAGAAACCACAGGACGTCCGTGGATTTTGGGTGTGGGAGCGCGACGCCTTCCATAGCAAAATTCATCGAGACCCAAGAAACCCAGGGCACCCTGGAGGCGAGCAGGGTGTTCCTTGGCATGTGTCTCCACTGTAGGGCACCCTTCCCGATCCGACCAGAACTCCGCGCAGAGCGGGTCCAGCGCGGGTCCAAGAACTCCGCGCAGAGCGCCCAAAGTTCATGTTTGTGTTGCTTCTTCTTCTTCTTCGGCATTCGCCCGAATCTGAATCAGGGCACCCTCCCTGAATCGATCTCGATCCGATTTGAGCAGGGACCGACCGTCCCGGCATTGCTAGAGGCCCACCACGAACTGCTCTTAGAACCCCGAAAATGTTCCAAGAACACAAACAAGGTTCTTAGAACATGACAACGACGTGTGAAAGCAAGACGGTCCCAGCCAGAAATGCTCTAATAACCTTTCTTTGGAGTCCCGAAACGGTGCCGTGACAGGCCGTGCGGTGACCTTGGAACCCCAAGTGACCTCACCGCACGGTCCGTCACCGCACGGTCTTGGGACCCTGGAGGTCCCTGTCGCCCGAGACGTCCTCGGAGAACGACCCGAGTCCCAAAACCGTGCGGCGACCCCGAATCCCCGCCGACTCACCGCACGGGGTGGCCACCACCCCGCCTGGGGACCCCCGACTTTCGTGGAATCCACCCGGGAAGGTTCTTGGCACGCTGCCATGGCAGGCCCAGCGGCGAGCTGGGACGCTCCGCCCCTGCCTGACGAGCTCCGCCCCCTGCCGGCCGCGGCCCGGCAGCCGGCGCCAGGGCGCGCGCTGCCTCGCGCGCCCGCGCCGCGCGCCTCGCGCGACGGCCGCGCGCCTCGCGGCGCGGGCGCCTGCCGAGGTGCCGCTCGGCAAGCGCCCGGGGAGTGGGCCGGCCATCGCTCGGACGTCCATTCCCTGCGTTCTTCCCCCATCTCCTAAGATGTTAGATTCATGTCCAGACCGTCACAACTGAAGCCCGTTTATGCTCGAAGGCTCTTGCGCCCAGACATTCACGGCGGACAGGTCCATGCGAACAGGTGCACAGATGGGGAGCTGCACGCAGTGAGTACTTGTTGTCGGTTTCGGGCGTGGTTTTCTGTGCAGGAGGAGCCAGGATGCTCCTTACGAACCCCCGCCGAGAGAAGGTGGACACGTCCGAGCGATGCCAGGTGGGCCGCTCGACGCCCGGGAGAGGCGGAGGCACGGAGTGCCAGGCTTAGGTCGGGCGTGTGGCCCTGCAGGGGGGATCTTGGACGGCAGACGAGCAGCAGCCAAACAGTGCTCGAGGACAGCAAAGAAGATCATCAGAGCGTAGTCCCCAGACAGTTTCTGGACCGTTCTTGAGTGTTCCTCCTGTGGAGGGACAGGCCCGACTTAAGCGAAGGCGAGGAGTGCCAGGCGGAACTCTTGGGCGCCTGTGGGACGAAGCGAGGACGAGGATCAACTCGGGTGAGGATCGATCGAGGATCTCTGCGATGTGGCGGCTCTGGGGACGTCTCGGGCGCCGCGGTCTTCTCAGAGCGTGCCAGAGCGCTCTGGGAGCGTTCTGGCACGCTCTGAGAGCGGATTTATCCTCGTCCTAGCCCCGTCCGACGACGTCTGGACTGGTAGATCCTTGGGCGCCTCCGTGGCCCACATCTGGCCGACATCGGCCTGCTTTACCAAAGAGGAAGTCAGAGCATTCCCAGCGATTCCCAGGCTCTGGGCACACTGGCCTCCGCCCAGATGGTGTGGGTGGGGGGGGGGGACGACGACGACGACGACGACGACGACGACGACGACGACGACGACGACGACGACGACGACGACGGCGACCCTATTGAAGAGACGGAGGCAGGTGGAGACGATGACGATGACAACGACGAGCAGGAAGACGACGACCACCACCACCACCACCACCACGACGGCCGTGGGACCCCTCCTGGAGGCCGAGAACTCCTTCGCTGGAAGTTTGCAGCCACTCCGCTTCCTGAACTGGGAGCTCGCAGGGATGCCGATGCCGCTGCCGACCCCCACTCACGGGGGGGCGGGGGAGGGGGGGCCTGCACCGCACTATACAAAACTTCCAGGGGGGAGCACCGCAGCGCCACCCCGGACCCATCCGGGGGAGGAGGGGGCGTGAACTCAAAAGCATTGGGGGGGGGCCTAGGCCCTAGACCACACATAGTGGATATCGGCAGAAATCCCCGCCAGCGCCCATTCACGATCCATGCGAAATGTCCTCTCGCGAGTGATGCACACATGCAATGAACCGAATAGCGTCTTTTTGAAAGAGCGGCTGCTGATCCGTGGCTACCGCAAACTATGAAAATCATTCACCGTGAAAACATCATGCACCTAAATACGGGGATTAGCCAAAGAAGCGAGGACGTGACAGCCGCTACGGTCGTGCCCAAGATTGGTGCAAGCGAACTTCGTGGAACACGCCGACGTGGTCACAGGGGATACCTGGACATCTGTGATTGAACACCGAAATAAGCGCAGTCCTCGACGTGGCCAATGATTGAATTGTGGGGTTGGTAGCACCTCGGCAAGCCATGCTACCAACCCCTGCCTAAAGCATCATACTCTGCAGGGATAGATCGAAAAGAAGCAAATATCGACGACACGGCTGTGCGTGCGTCGCCGCCCCTTCCTGCGATCCCAGTTGCGCGCCGTTCATTCCAAGTTGCCTGGGGCAGTGTGTCGGCGCGTGGCAAGTCGAATATTTTCTCTCCCTTCTTCCGCATCCTCCTCACTTCTCCCTCCTCCTCCTCTTTCTTTCTAGCTCCTCGCCCTCGAGCCTCGATGCTCCTTCTCCCTCTCCTTCTCCTTGTCTTTTTGTTCTCCTTATTCCTCCTCCTCCTCCCCCTCCTCCTCCTCCTCCTCCTCCTCCTCCTCCTCCTCCTCCTCCTCCTCCTCCTCCCCCTCCCCCTCCTGGCATGAATGCAGAGGGTCCTGGTGCAAGCGGGTCCTGGACCCCGGCGTCTTCCCCAGGACTGCTTCTTCTCCTCCTGCGCGGTCTCTCGACGGCCCTGGGGCCCTGGGGCGGCCCGCGGGAGCTCGAGGCTCGCGGGTCGAGAGCGCACCTCTTCCGGTCGAGGCTGAGCGGGCCGCGCGAAGCCTGAATTCACAAAAGAGCGGGGGAAGAGAACAACAGAACACATCCACGACACCACCATTCTTCGTTGGCGATCCTCGTCCTTCTCCCCCCCTTCCTCGCCCTTCCACGAGAGCCCCTTTCTCGCTGGCGATCCTCGGCCTCGTCCTTCTCCCCCCTCTCTGTTGATCGTTGGCAGCAACTGGCTGGTTGGCTCAGCAGGGACTTCTCCAGCGAGGCGAGCTCGCTGGAAGACGACAGGGCCTCGGGGAGACGCCCCTCCCCGACCCCCGACCCCCCCCGACCGATGCAGGCCCACGGCCCGACCGCAGCCTGGCCGAGATCCGGATCTCGACCCCCCCTCGCGTCACATCCGGCAGCGTTTGCGCTGGCCTTCGCCGCACCATCCGCCGACGCCGCGGCTCCGAGGGGCCCCCCGAGGCGCATCGCATGTCGTCTCCGCGCGGCGCAGCCTCGTCTGTTCGCCGATTGCCGTCATGCTGACCGCCAAGCTCATGCCCTCCCTGGGTAGTCAAAGCCAATCTGGCGCCAATCTGGCAGGCCCAATCTGGCAAACGGGGGCAATCTGGCGAGGGAGCCAACGCGAATCCAGTCTGGCGAATAACCCAAATCATCCAGTTTGGCCGGGCCAGATTGGCCCTTGGGGCCCAATCCAATCTGACAGTCTGGCCTTCGACTACCCAGCCTCCTCATCACTCTCATCCTGAATCCTGCTCCCCAGGCGTCCTCCGAGATGATTGTTCAATTTCGCGGCCTCAGAAGTCCCTCCCCCTCCCCCGGTGCCAGTTTCGACCAGGATCCATTTTTACTCTGCCCCGCGGGCCGAAAACGGCCTCCGAGGGCAAAGATTGAGGAACACCGCCTGCTGAGCAAATGAGCTTGACGGAGACCTAGGTCCTCCTTTTCCTCCTCCTCTTCCTCCTCCTCCTCGTCGTGAATCGAACCGTGTTTCTGCTGCTTTCGCCTCTTTGTGGGCCTCCGGACACCGTTGGAGCCCCCGATCCATTGTCGATCGACCGCGATCGATCGATGGATCGGCCAGGTCAGCGTCATCATCTGGCCCTTAACTGCCCTTAAACACATCGCGCCACCCGCAGCGTTTTGACACGAAACTCAACAAGTAGATTGAAACCGTAGGTCTGGTGCGATACGTTTGCGGAAACGTGGGCCATCACTTGTTGAGCCAACGCGCAGCGAATTCGACCCGTAGGTTTTGCGAACACGGTACGTGCTGCATTTCAGCGTGGGCGTATCAGATCGCACGATGGTCGGCAGATCTCGGGTCTTCTGAGGACGCCGCCGTCTTCGACGGGGTATGTCAAGCCAGCGTCATCGTCTGGGCGCGCGGCACCAGGCGGGGGCGGGTCTGTTGCGGCAGCACTGCCGAGGGGGCCTGTGCCGAGGCCACCCTCAGCGGCTTCCCGGCAACCACGGGCGGAGACTTACTGAGCGAGGTGATGGGCGAGGCGGTGGGGGTCCCCGCCGGCGCGGTCAGCGACGCGGACACGAGGCGCCGCCGGGTTGGAGACGGCGAAGACGTCGACGTGCCCGAGGGTGTTGTGCTCGAGGACTCGACGAAAGAGAGGGTCCTGGGTCGCAGGAAAGTTGCCGGCAAGACCTTCGCTGCTCCGCCAGCCGACCCCGCCACGGCGCGCAGTGGCAGCACTGGCTGGGACGTGGCGGCAGCGGTCCCCGCGGCGCCCTGCAGCGATGCCCCCTTGGCATTCGCGGGCAGGGCGGCGAGCGCCGCTCTGGCGTGCGCGGGGCTGCCCGCCAGGGCGCTCTGGAGCTGCACCGGGGACAGCGCCGAGCCGGCGCGGGCCGGGCTGGGCACCGCGGCGGGGTGCAGCGGGCTGGCGGCGTCGATGCCCCACGCTGGGCCCTGGGCTCCCGCAGCAGGCGCGGGGCCGGGCGCCGCAGAGCTGCGCACAGGGCTCTGCCTCGCGGCCGCTGCCAGGCAGGCCCGCGGCGCGGCTCCGGGGGGCGCCGCCGCGGAGGCCCGCAGCGCGCCGCCGCCGTGCTGCGCCGCGGCGTGGGAGGGCGCTCCGACCACCGCAGGCTGCCGGGCCTTGGGGTCGGGCGAGGCCGCAGCAGGCGCCGCGGCGGGTGGAGGTCCGGCCAGCGCTGGCTGCTGGGGCTTGGGGCCAGGTGAGGCCCCCACCGGTGCCGCGGCGAGGGAGGGAGCTCCGGCCGCAGCTGGCTGCCGAGGCTTGGGGTCGGGTGAGGCCGCAGCCGTCGCCGCGGCATGAGAGCATCCGCCCACGGATGGATACCGGTTCTTGGGGCCAGGCGAGCTCGCAATCGGCGCCGGCGCCGTCGCCTGGGAAGAGCCGCCCGCGGCTGACTGCCGGAGCCTGGGGCCAGGCGAGCTCCCGACGGGCGCGGGGCCCAAGGAGGAGCGAGCCACGGCTGCCTGCCGGATCCTGGGGCCAGGTGAACTCGCCACCGGCGTCGCGGCGTGGAATGATCCGGCCACGGCTGACTGCCGGGCCCGAGGGTCAGGTGACGTCGTCGCAGTGGAGCGGCCGTGATCGGCCGCAGCAGGCAGCACGGCGCGGCGGGGTGACTCGGCAGCCTTGCCCTCGCCGCTGAACGCGGCCTCCTCCCACGAGCCGGAGCTCGTTGCATAGGCAAGCTGCCCGCTCCAACCGCCTGACGTGCACGCTTCGAGGATACGCGCCATGTCCTTCTCTTCGAACGTCCCCGAGGATTTGCACCTCAGCAGCGCCTGGATGATCAGGGGCAAGATCGCCAGAAGCAGCGACGCCTGGGGCATGTGGAGCATCTCGGTCACGTAGAGCACCGCCGTGGAGGTCGTGCCCTCAGGGATGCGGCTCCTAGCATCTGCGAAGTGCTCCTCCTCCGAGAGGTTGCCGCGGAAGAAATCAAGGCCGCCCAATATGAGAAAGGTCACGGCCTCCAGAAGAACAAAACGCGGCGCAACACGCGGACTGTCGGAACTCCGCGCGTTTTTTTCGGATCGGCGCTGGACACCCTGAGCTCAGAACATTTATGCTCATGCAGCTTTTTGCGGAGCAGGGCGAGTTGATAGAACGACGGCTCAAAATCGATCCCTGGACCCCTCCTGAGTTCAAACATGCACAGGTTCTCCGAATTGCGTCCATCCGTGGCGACGAAGGGACCCCCTGGAATCCAACTACCGTTGTCTCAACTTCGAGGCGGTCAGGAGGTCTGAACTGGATGGATCTTGGGAAACTCGGCCAAAAAGCGGGAATAAGGGCAAATCCTGTCAAAATCTGTCCCCAGACCCCTGCTGGGGTCCATGTGGTGCAGTTTTTCGCCCCAGATCCATTTTTGACGGTCCCTGGGCCCGAAAACGGCCCCCAGGGGCCGAAAAAAGGAAACCACCTTGTCGAACCCAGCACCTCTCGAACCTGCCCACTGTTCCTGCTGGCCAAAAACAATGCTGGGCCACCTCAGACCCCCAGCTGGCTCCAAGTTTCACATGGCCCTCCTCTGAGTTGTTCTTGTTTTTTCTTGATTGCATCAGGCATGCTTCACGCTGACGGTGGGGGGGGGGCATTTGTAGTGGCGATGCGAGTCCTTTCTCTGTGCGGCGAAAATAAACGGATCTTACGCGATGACGTAGCGACCTTACGCGGTGGCTTACACTGGCCCCCCCTTCACACCGCGAGGGGAACGAGGGCGCTTACACGCGGCCTCACGCGGGCAGCTTAGGCGCGAATGTCGGCGCAGACGACGCTTCTTCCCAGACCCCCGACGTCGTGATTTTTCATAAGGAAATCTGGACCCCGTCCTGGGGACCAGTTTTTCAACCTGAATGGTTTTTTGACGGTCCCGAGGCCCTTGAAGGGCCCCGGGAGGCCGAAAATAGCGACCCCCCCCGGTTGTGACCTTTCTACATCGCAAAGGGGTCTGGGTTTTCCGCGTCTCTCCAATGGCCCTCCTCTGATTCTTCGGTGGCAACTCATGGGAGCCTCCCGTACCAGCTCTTGCGAATCAACGCTAGTCGACGCCAAATCGTCGCTACTCGGCGCCAAATCGACGCTACATCGACGCTAATTCGGCGCTATCTCATCGACTCCCAGACGCTAATCGACGCGAAAGACGGACTTAAGAGGATATACCAGGCTACCATGATGCCCAGGTAGCTCGTAGAGAGCTAAGAGAGTTTCAAATTAAGAAGCCGGAGCCGCAGGGTAGCCCCGGAGGTCGTTCCGGCTTCCGTCCACACACCTCGGCGCGCCTCGCTTGAAGTCGCAGCGTGTTCTGGCAGGCCTCTTGTAAGCGTTCCCCAATATGCGTGCCTGGAAGCTCTCCAGAAGGTCCTTTGGAAGCTCTCTCCAGGTCCTTCCAGAGTTCTTCGGCAGGCCTGTTCACGCCCTTCGGGCGCCCTGCCATCCGGGTTTCGGACCCCACAGGTTTGCTACCGAACGATTATGCGTCTTCTTGGCGGCGCGCACAAAGAGGGGGTGGAGGGGGGAGGGCCTCTGAGCAGGAGGCTGCTCCTCAGCAGGCGCCGGCCTTACCTCTACAGACAAGGCCCGCGCCTGCTGCCGAAGGATTCCTCTGCGTCTTCGGGCCTCCGCCGGCCACGGGACCTTCGCCGGCAGGTCCATGGCGCACCCGCCGTTGAGCACCACGGCCGGGGGCACGGCGGCCCCGCGCCGCTCCCAGAGGGCGGGCAGCACCACCTGCCCGCCTGCGAGCGGCAGCATCCGACCACGGCGGCGACGGCGGCGACGGCGGCGACGACGACGACGGCGACGCCCGCCTGTGAGTGGCAGAATCCGCAACAGAAAGCCCCCAGAGAGCCCCAGGAGGGACCCCATGAGGGACCCCCCCCCCCCTCCGGTGACGATTGTATTTTTCAAGTGACGTGCTTCCCCTGGGGCTCGCACCCTGTTTTTTTTTATCCGGGAAAGTCACGAACTAGGCTCGAATTGGGCCCCTGGCTCCTGGTTTACAACAACAGCAACGGCTCCCGCCTGCTACTTCCTCACAGTTTATTCCCAGATCGTGCTCTCACGCTGGACTTCTTCACAATTCATGTGCGCATCACGTTCTCGCGTGGGACTTCCTCGCAATCTATTCAGACGCCGCGCCCTCGACATTCAGGAATCACGCTCTCGCTTTGACTTCTCGCGCGATTTCCTTGGGAATCGCGCTACCGCTCGAGACTTCCTCGCGACTCCTGCAAGACTCACGCTGCAGCAGCCCGCCTGCTCCACCGGGCCGCGTGGGCCCGCCTTCCTGACCCGCTTGCTGAAGCTTGCCCGCACGATCTGCCCGCCTGGTCCTGCCACGTGCTGCTTCTTGCCCCCGTCCTGCGAACTTCTCCCGCGCTCCATCCTTCTCCTTCCCCCTTCGATCCGTCCTCTCTTCCCCTGCTTTCGGGGCTGTGCCAAGTGCGCGCGGCAGGTCAGGGAGACATGCCCCCAATGGGGGTACGACCGGCGACGAAGAGCGCGGGTACCGAGGGTCTGGGCTACACGTGTTGCCTGGCACGCGGTCGGATCGGAGCGACCTGTCTTAAAAGGACTGTTGTTGTTGTTGTTGTTAATGGTGTTGTTGTCGTTACTGTTGGTGTGGTTGTTGCTGTGGTTGGTGTTGTGGTTGTTGTTGTGGTTGTTGTTGTTGTTGTTGGTGGTGCTGTTATTGTGGTTATTGTGGTTATTGTTGTTGTTGATGATGCTGTTGTTGTGGTTGTGGTTGTGGTTGTGGTTGTGGTTGTGGTTGTGGTTGTGGTTGTGGTTGTGGTTGTTGTTGTTGTTGTTGTTGTTGTTGTTGTTGTTGTTGTTGTTGTTGTTGTTGTTGTTGTTGTTGTTGTTGTTGTTGTTGTTGTTGTTCCCAACCCTCCTGGTGTTTGGTTCTCGTTTTGAATCGGGCACTGTGGCCTACACCTCCCCTTCTCCTGTCGGGGGCCACGCGCACCCAGCAGGGACCTCTCAGCTTCCTGGGTGGCTGCGAACTGCGCAGGTGTAGTCGCTTCCGTGGGCTCCTGAGAGGTCCAACGGAGTCGGGGGCCACGCGGGCCCCTCTGGGACCTCGCAGCTCCCTGGGTGGCTGGAAACTGCGCAACTGGCAACACTTTCGTGGGCTCCTGGGAGGCCCAGCTGAATCGGGGACCACGCGCACCCAGACGAGACCTCGCTGCTCCGTGGAAGGCTGCGAGCTGCAGAGCCGTCGCCACTTTCGGGGGCTCCCTGGAGGTCCAGCGGGGAGTCGGGGGCCACGCGGATCCAGCCGAGACTTCGCGGCTCCCTGCTCGGGGGCGTTCGTCCAGGGTCCTCCCTGGGCTTCTGGGGGCCCTCTTGGGGCACTTCTGACGGGGTAGTGGGACCGTTTTTTTGTTGCTTCTAAGAAATCTCGGGGGCCCCTGTGAGTGCTCAGGGCCTCGGGCGGCGAGGACGAATGAACGACCAAGCTCCCGTGGCAACCGTCCCAACCGATGGAAGCCGACGGCGGAGAGCAAAGCAAAGCGCGCGAGAAGTTGGGCCAACAGCGCTGCGCCCCACACAAAAGATGCCAGTCCTAGCACTCGAAGCCTGGACCCCGTTCGAACAGGGAGCGAGCACGACGAGAAAGGGGAAGGAAAGAAGAGGAGGCGGGGAGGAGGAGGAGCGAGCGGGGTAGTGGGACCGTATTTGGGCTCTCTGGAAATACCTTCGGCCCCCGTTGGGGCCCTCGCGGGGCTCTCTTGGAGCCCTGCGAACGGCCTTGGAGGGGCTCTTGGAGCCGTCTGGGACACGTTGCGCACCGACCCCTGCGGGGCCGTCGGGGCCTGGAGACCCGTCCTGCGGCAACGCTCGTGCTGGATTCCCCCCCGACGGCCGAATTTCGTTCTCGACGGTCGAAACGCGATGTTGTCGGTAGAAACTCAGGTCTCGACGGGTCGATGGGCGTGGTTTTCAGGGTGTTTTTCCACATGCAAGGGCCCTACAACAACGCCGCTGTAGGGGCGAAACCGAGATCCTGACGGTTCGCTCCGGGGCGCCCGTCGGAAGCGCGCTCCGCGGAACGCCCGTGGAGGCCCCGCCGAGGCCCTGCGGGGGCCCCGGGGCACTGCCCCCGACCGCCCGCAGCAACAGTGGCCCACCCTCGGTGGCGCAAGGAAGAACCGTCGAAGCCAAGCTCCCCCTCTCAAGGAGGCTCGCAGAACTCACGCCGTCGCCAAAAGAGCGCGGATGACCTTGTCATGTTGTTTTGGTGACGCGCGCTGCACCGCTGCTGCTCTATGCGTATTGCTTTTTTTTTTGGGGGGGGGTGCGATTCACTTGGTCCGTGCCAGATTGCTGCGCGTGACATACACACTCAAAAACTATTATTTCCCTTGGGATTTGCGCCCCAACCCGGCCTTGGGTGAGACCTGGCCTTTCTTCCCTCCCGACCTGCGAGGCTGCGAACTGCGCAACGGAAGGGTCCAACGGAGGCCGGGGCCGTCCCGGATCGGTCCGCGCGGAAACGCGGCAGAGAGACTGGGTCCAGGGCTCTGGTCGTGATTCCTCGCGACGTGCCATTTTCTCGCAGCGTCGGACGGAGCTCAGGGCAGGGGCGAGCACTCCAGGCAATTAACCGCATACCGCAGATAATAAAGTACCCCCCCCCCTAAGTCATTTGAGTTGATTATCGTCGGCCTAGAAGGGTTTCAAATGTAAGCGGAGAGCGCGGAGGCCGAACTTCATTATCACTGTGAAAAGTTCGCCGAACGTCTGAAGGATGTCTGAAGCGAAACAACCAATTCTGCAAGGACGTCTCAAGCGAAACAAGCAGTGCTTAAGGAATCCTGTCCTGCTTCCCCTTTCTGCTCCTCCTTTCTCCTCCCCCTCCTCCTCCCTCTGCTCCTGCTCCTTCCCCTCCTCCTCCTCTTCCTCCTGCTCCTCTCCCTTCTCTCCTCTTCCTGCTCTTCCTCCTCCTCCTCCTCCTCCTCCTCCTCTTCCTCCTCTTCTTTCTCTCTGTCTCTTTCTCCTCCTCCCCCTGGCGCCCTGAACTTGTTTATCGCTGTGGTTGAGTATCCTGGGAAAACGAGGCACATGAGCTACCCTACACGAGCAGATGAGAATTCTAATTTTCATTAAGCGTTTGCACATAAAATCTTATAGGTTTTGAACTTTAGATTTTTCTTTCATCCTTTTCATCTTCCTCTCCTCTCTCTCTCTCTCTTTGTCGCTGTCTCTCTTTGTTCCTCTCTCTCTCTATCTCTGTCTCTCTCATTATCTTTCTCTTTCTTTATACCTATCAGCCTTTCTCCTTCTCTCCGTGCCCCCCTGAACTTGTTTATCGCTGTGGTTGGTTATCCTGGTACCCTACACGAGCAGATGAACATTTCAATTTCCATTAAGCGCTTACAAATAAAGTATAATAAGTTTTGAACATTGGATTTTTCTTTCCTCCTTCTCATCTTCCTCTCCTCTCTTTTCTCTTTCTCTTTGTCTGTGTCTCTCTGTGTGTCTCTCTCTCTCTCTCGTTCTCTTTCTCTTTCTTTCTCTCTCTCTCAGCCTTTCTCCTTCTCTCCGTGCCCCCCTGAACTTGTTTATCGCTGTGGTTGATTATCCAGGTACCCTACACGAGCAGATGAACATTTCAATTTCCATTAAGCGCTTACAAATAAAGTATACTAAGTTTTGAACTTTGGATTTGTCTTTCCTCCTTCTCATCTTCCTCTCCTCTCTCTCTCTCTTTCTCTTTGTCTCTGTCTCTCTTTGTGTGTCTCTCTCTCTCTCTTTCTATTTCTCTTTCTTTCTCTCTCTCTCTCTCAGCCTTTCTCCTTCTCTCCGTGCCCCCTGAACTTGTTTATCGCTGTGGTTGATTATCCGGGGAAAACGAGGCACACGAGCTACCCTACACGAGCACGAAACGAGAGATTTGTCGAGGATGTCTCAAAGCGAGACAAACCATTGTTGAGGATGTTTCAGGGAGGACCAAAAGCCAAGTATGTCTCAAGATATCCTCGGCTTTCGCTCCTCTTGATAATCACTTTATGCTGGCCTCTCGTGGGCAACTTTCATTATCCCCCCGTAACCCCGAACTTTATTATCCCTGTGTGTTTATTCTCTGCGACATGGGGTTAAGTGGAAGCAGTTGGTTCTCAAGATGCTTTTGGCCTCCAGCCGCTCTGCGTGGCGACGCCCCCGCTGGCACGCAAAGGGCCCCCGCGTGCCTGCCGGGGGGCGCCGCCACGCAACGGGCCCGCGTGTCGGCGCCCTCGTCCTCGTTCTCGCCCCTCGCCCTGGCTGTCAGGGCTTTGCAGCGCGAGGGAGCTCGGGCCTGCGTGTCAGGGCCTGCGGCCTGCGTGTCAGCCCTTCCGTCCCTTCCCTTCGGACCCACACGCGCGCCGCGGCCTCTCCTCTCCTCACGGCGCGGGCCCCTCGGAGGCCTCGCCCCCCTTTGCTCGGGCGTCTCCCCGCGCAGCAGCCTCCCCGGGGCCTCCAGGAGCCTCCGCGCCGCTGCACCACGAGCCGGCTGATAAGATAGGTCTTGAAGCAAGCACGCCTGCGCCCCCCGAGCAGAGGAAACGGCCCCGGCGTCGACCCCTCGGTGTGTGTGAGACGCATCTTCTTCGTCTTCGTCTTCGTCTGCGTCTTCGTCTTCGTCTTCGTCTTCGTCTTCGTGTGCGTCTTCGTCGTCGTCGTCGTCGTCGTCGTCGTCGTCGCCAGTCCCAAGGACATTGAAAAACGAACAAGGAAAAATAAGGTCGTCATGGAGCGGATTCCCTTCCGGTTTTCCCTCCCTGACGGGGATTGGGGGTGGTGCGGGGGGGGGTCCTGGGTCAGATTACCGCCTCGCCAGTCCCGGCGGGTTTGGGGGGGGGTCTCAGCGGGGGGACCTATGATATGGGGAAGTCCCGCCTGTGGCGGGAGAGGGGGGGGAGAGTGTCCTGGACGAGACTGCCGCCCCCCCCCGCCCGGGGTCACCGGTGGGTCCCGGTGCGTCTCGGGGGGGGGGGGGAGGGTCGCCAGCGGGAGAGCCCCGGTCCTGGAGGGGGAGGCCCCCGGCGGGGGCCTCCCCGGGGAGGAGGTGCCCGCCTGCTGCAGGGGCGCGCAGACCTGCGGCGGCCCCGGCGCCGGGCCCCTCCTTGTTGCCCAGGGCCAGGCGCTCTTCCGCCCGCGGCGCTGCGGCTTTCGTGGCAGCCCCAAAGGGCGCGCGGCGCCGACCTCCCGAGGCCGAGGGCCGAGGGCAGCCGGCCGTCCGCAGCTTCCTCGGGTCGCCGGGGCTGGCTGGGCGGGTCGGGCGCGCGCGAGCACGGACGACGGATCGGGGAAGGCGCCCCCGAGCCGTGAGGCCCACGCCGCCTGCCTTACTACGGCGGCGGGTCGCGCCGACCCTGCACGGCAGCGGGGCCCGTCGCGGGTCCGCGCGCCTCCAGCCGTGCCTGCGCTCTTCCTCGGGGGCGGAGCGCCCCCGTGCGCTATCGGTTGGTCCCCCCCCCGAGGGCCTCGGGAGCCGAATATCATGCACTCGCACCTGTCCAGGACGCCCTCGGCCAGGACGGCGCCCTCCGCGAAGCTCAGCAGGTTGGGGGCGGGCGCGCCCTGGGGCCATCCTTCGCTCTCGAGGGGCGGGGGGCGCACGGACGACGAGCACAGCCACACTCCGTGCCCTCGCGGTCTGGCGCCCGAGGCGCTGCAGTGTACGCACGATCGTGGTTGAGTCTCATGTCTGAAGGAAGCTGGGCAGCGTGGGCCCCAAGCAGTGTATTTCTAGCACTATGTGCTGTGCAATCGACGTGGGGCAACACACAAGCACATCTATGCATGACATCATATATCTGTGTATGGTGCAACCGATGGTGTGCAAACAGTGTTGGGCAATCCATGTTGCGCACCCTATGTTGTGGAGTACAAGTGGTGCGACCTATGAGGTGCAGCATATGTTGTACACTCTATGTGGGCCAAGCTATGTGGTGCAATAAATGTGGTGCGATCTATGATGTGCAATCTATGGTGTGCAGTGTATGGTTGTGCCCTCTATGTGGTGCGCTCTTTTTTGGTGCAGTGCGTGGTTCACCCGATGTGGTGCAATCCATGTTGCAATATATTCGGTGCAATATATGTGTTGCAATTTATATGGCGCAGCTCATGTATGCAGGTTGCGCACTTTATGTTGTGCGATCTATGCTGTGCAGTCTATGCTGTGACAATTCTGTGGGGCAGTCTATATGGTACAGGCAGTGTGGTACAAGACATGGTGTACAACCTATGTTGTGCAAGGCATGTGGCATGTGGTGCAATCGATGTGATACAATCCAAAAGGTGCTCGCAATGTGGTGCAATCTATGTAGTGTGATCTATGTTGTGTGCAATATATGCGGTCCAGTATACGCGGTGCAGCCTATATTGTGCAATCTAAGGGGTGCAACATTTGTTGTGCAATTGATGTGGCGGGCGGCGACGGTGCGGCGACGGCAGCAACACGCGCGGCGCGCGGCGACCGATAGACAGGCCCAGACGACGAGTGGCGACGAGGCGGCGACGGGGTGGCGACGGCGGCAACAAGCGCAGCGACCCACAAACAGGCCCAGACGACGGTCGGCGACGAGGCGGCGACGGGGCGGCGACGGCAGCAACATAGCCGCTAGACCGACAGACAGGCCCAGAAAAATAAGAGCTCCTAAGTGCAAGCGCTGTGGGAAATCATTATTTTTAATCCCCCCCTGTGCCCGCTGTGTTTTTTTCAATCGAAGTGCCCCTCATGGGGCTTGAACTCTGTTCTTCGCAAGGGAAAATAAGGAGCCTCACAATGCTCTGTTGGCCCAAAGTTTACTACAGCAATGAATCCCGCCTGGTATATCTGCACAGTGTATTCAAAACCGCGCTCTCGCGTGGTACCTCCTCACGGTTTGTGCAGGAATCGCGCTCTCGCGTGGTGCTTTCGCAGTGTACTCAAACGCCGCGCCACCCACGCTGAGGAATCACCCTCTCGCTCTGGACTTCCTCGCGATTTACCCGGGAACTGCGCCATCGCTCGAGACCTCCTCGGGATCCATGCAGGGCCGACGCTTGCCTGGGCCCGCCCGCCGGACCCGCCCGACAAGGCCCGCCCGCCCGACCCGCCCGTGCGGTTGTGTCGCCTGCTCTCCTGCTCCTGGCCCACCTCCTGCTAATCTCTCTCTTGTGCTCTACCCCTCTTCCTCCCCCTTGTCCCTTGTCCCTTCCCTCCTCCCTTCCCTTCTGTGTGTTCAAGGGCCGCGCCGGCTGCACGTGGCAGCCACGGGGGAGCTATCCCCAAGGGGGGTACGACCGGAGACGAAGAGGGCGGGTCTCGAGGGCTCGGGATATGCAGGTTGAGTGGCTCGGGCAGATAAGCGCGAACAATCTCAAAATGGTGATTGAATTCTCATGTCTACAAAGCAAGCATGGTTGATCCACCCCTCCGGGTGCTCCCCCGGGGCTCGCACCCTATTGATTACAAGGGGAAGAATCTTGAGCCTCAGAATGCTTTGTTGGCCCACGGTTTTAAAACAACAGCGGCTCCCGCCTGGTACATCCTCACAATGAATTCAGCATCGCGCTCACGCGCAGGACGTCCTCACAAATTGTACAGGAATCGCGCTCTCGCGTGGGACTTCCGTGCAATCTACTGATATGCCGCGCCCTCAACATTCCTACCATCCGAGGGGAGCCCTGTGGCAAGAAAAAGAGAAACGACGAAACGACGATGCAACACAAACTATCACGGGGAGCTAGAGATGGGAATCCGGCGGCGAGAGAACTGTTGTGCTGGCTGGTCTGTCGCAATTATTTCTGGCGGGGGAGGCCAATTTCGGGCCTTCGGGCAGTAAAACACCGACTCGGGATGAAGCGCTGCTCTCAGCGGACCCGGATCCTCCTCATCCTCTTCCTATCCCCCTCCTCCTCCTCCTCCTCGTGCTCCTGCTTGTGATGGTGTGGCTGTTGCTCCCCCTCCTCCTCCTCCTGCACCTCCCCCTCCTCCTCCTCCTCCTCTTCCACCTCTGCCTCCCCCTCCTCCTCCTCCTCCTCCTCCTCCTCCTCCTCCTCCTCCTCCTCCTTCTCCTTCTCTTCTCCCCCTCCTCCTCTACAACGACAAAACCTGAATCATACTCTCCGCTCCCAGGAATCTGTCCGGAAGATGCAGGATTTCGGCAGCTGGCTTCCCCAGTGCTTTTTACAGTGCGATTGCTGCCGGTGTTTGAGCATCGCGCTCCCGCCGCAGCGTGGGCCTCACTTTCGGATCGGCGCTCTGCCCCCGATCGTTCCGAGTGTCGCTCTCGCCCCAGCGCCACTTCTCTCGGATCCGCTGTCCGCCCCGCTCCTGCCCTCTTCCCCCCACCTCCTCCTTTCCACTCTCCTCTCCCTCCTCCCTCCCCTTGTCCTCCCTCCTCCCTCCTCTCTTCCCTCCTCTCTTCCCTCCCCTTCTTTCCCTCCTCCCTCCCCCTCCTGCTGGTGCTGCTCCTCATCCCCCTTTTTTTTCCTCCCCTCCACCTTTCCCTTTCTCACCTCCAGAGGCTCCACCACACTGGGCAACTGCTAGACTAGCAACTTAACTCCGACGGTCGGACCCCGCACGAGAATCTGTTTAGCTTGCCTGGAGATCTCCTCCTGCTCCCTCCCCTATCCCACCTACTCCTGCCCCCTCCTTCTGCTCCTCCCTGCTTCTCCTCCTGCCTCAACCCCTGCCTTCTCCTCCTCCTCTTGCCTCCTCGACCATCACCTCCTCCTCCTCCTCCTCCTTTTCCTCCTCCTCGTTATGCCTCCTCCCTCCATTCCCCCTGCTCCTCCTGCCTCCTGCCTCCTGCGTCCTCCTCCTGCTGCTTTCCCTCCTCCTCCTCCCTCCTCCTCCTCCTCCTCCTCCTCCTCCTCCTCTTCCTCCCCTCTCCCTCCTCCTACTCTCCGCCTCCCTCCTTCCGCCTCCTCCTCCTCATCGCCATCTTCCTCCCCCTCCTCCTCCCCCTGCCTCCTCCTCCTCCTCCTCCTCCTCCTGTCCCTCCTCCTGCCTCCTCCTCAAGGCTCCCGCCTCCTCCTGGGACCTCCCGGGGCCTCCCGCAACCTCCCGGGACCTCCTGGGGCCCCTAAGGGCATTCCTCCTCCTCCTTCTCCCCCTCGTCCTTCTCCACCTCTGCCTCTTCCTCATCTTCCTCCTTCTCTCTCGCGTCCTGCATCCTCCTTCCTCCTTTCTCCTTTCTCCTCCTCCTCCTCCTCCTCCTCCTCGTGCGGAACACGACCCAAAGAAAACAACGCACGACGTGCGTCCCAGCGGATACGCGCTGGAGGCCGACCCAAATGAAGCGCGCGCCGGAGGACGACCCAGAGGACGACGCGGAGAAACCGCTTGAGGTGCGGGCCCCAGAGGGAGGGGGCTCCCGCCTGAGAGTTCCTCGCACCTCACTCACAGACGAGGCTCCCACCTGATACTTCCCCCACAGTCAGTCCTCAGGAGCTCAAAAGTGACGACAATTACAAGGTTTCGATGACCCGCTCGGATTACTCAGATCATTTGAGGGCCCCATAGGGAAAATGCTACCTCGATTTCCTGTCGATTCGCTCACAGACGAGGCTCCCGCCTGAGGCTTCCCCCGTATTCAGGCCTCAGGAACCCGAAGGTGAAGTCAGCTACAAGGTTCCGATGACCCGCTCGGATTGCTCACGTGATCTGCGGGCCCCATCAGGAGGGGGCTCCCGCCTAAGACTTCCTCGCAAATCCCTCATAAGCGAGGCTCCCGCCTGAGACTTCCGCCATACTCAAGCTTGAAGAGGCTAAAAGTGAGGTCAGTTACAAGGTTCCGATGACCCGCTCGGATTACTCACGTGAACTGCGGGCCCCTTAAGGAAGGGGCTCCCGCCTGAGACTTTGTCGCAATTCACTCACAGACGAGGCTCCCTCCTGATACTTCCCCCATATTTAAGCCTCAGGAGCCCCAAAGTGACGATCATAAGGTTCCCACGACCCGCTCGGATTACTCACATGGGCTGCGGGCCCCATGGGGAGGGGGCTCCCGCCTAAGGCTTCCTCGCAACTCACTCACAGACGAAGCTCCCGCTCGAGACTTCCTCAAGTGTGGGTTTGCGTAAGTGAATGAATCAATGAATGAGTGAATATGTGGATGAGTGAGTGGAGATGATGATGATGAGTGAGTGTGTGGGTGGGTAGGTGGATGAGTGAGTGGGTGAGTGCGTGGTCGTGTGAATGTTCATGATGAGTGTGTGACTGGTGAGGAAGTGCTTGATGACGGTGTGCGAGTCATTGAGCGAGTGCGCGTGCCGAGGGAGAGCAGAAGAGGGGGTGAGGTGTGGACTGCGCGGGGTGTGCAGAGAAAACAAGAGTCCCACTCTGGATGCAGAGGAAAAGCGCGATTCTCCACGACGCGAGGAGGTCTGGGCTTGGAAGTCCGAAGTCGGCCCCCAGGCCCATCAAGGGATGCGCCTGGGCCAAATTTCGAAGCGAAGCCAGCCGTGGCCACGAGGAGCGCCTTGGAGGCTCAACACAAAGCAAAGCACATCAAAGCAACCCTCGAAGTTCGAAGTTCGAAGAATCCGCGCCGCAAAACGCTGGCAAATGCGTTAGGACATCGCTGCAAGAACCCATACCCAACCCAACATTTTTTTTCCGCGTGGGGGAGCGGGGGAGGACGCCACGGGATCAAAAAACACACCCCGGGACAAAGCATCGCATCAAAAACGAACCGCTCCGAAGAGCATGCGTCAACGTTTCGTGGAAGCGCGTGCCCGCGCACAACTTCGACCCACATCTCAAGAGATTCCAGGCACCGAGCCTGAAAGCATGAAACAAACATCGCGCGTCAGCAAGGAAGAAAGGAGGTGCTTGGAAGCGCAACTGAAATACATAGTTCAAGTGTGGCAAGTTCGGCCAGGAGTGGGTTACCACCCCCGGCCCGGACGCAAAAGGCTATATCCCTGCGTTCGATTCGGCCGTCGATGGGTTACCACCGGCGGCCCGGGGACAAGGGCTTCCCCCTGCTCCCCGTTCGGCCGAGGATGAGTTACCACCCCCGGCCCGGCCGCCGATGGGTTACCACTGGCGGCTCGGAGACAAAGGGTTACCCCTGACCCCGATTCGGCCGACGAAGGGCTACCACCTCCTGCCCAGACGCAAGGGGCTACCCCCGCGTCCGATTCGGCCGCCGATGGTTTACTACCGGCGGCCCCGAGACAAGGGGTTACCCCTGCCCCCGATTCGACCGACGATGGGTTACCATCCTCGGCCCGGACACAAGGTTACCCCTGCGCCCAGCCGCCGTCTCCTCGTCGTCGTCGTCATCGTGCTGTCGTCGTCGTCGTCAGTTCCTCAGTCACGCTTGTGTCCTACGCTACTTCGGAACCGACGGGATTGACCATTTCGGGCACTTCCGATGACCCGCTCGGACTACTCACGTGAACCGCGGGCCCCATAAGGGGCTCCCGCCGGAGACTTCCTCGCAATTCACTAGCAGACGAGGCTCCCGCCTGAGACTTCCGCCATACTCAAGCGGGTTCCCGATGACCCGCTCGGATTACTCACATGGGCTGTCCCGCAAATCACGCACACACGACGCTCCCGCCTCATACTTCCCCCATATTCGAACCTCAGGGGCCCGAAAGTGAAGACAATTACAAGATTCCGATGACCCGCTCGGATTGCTCACATTAGCTGCGGGCCCCATAGGGAGAGGGCTCCCGCCTAAGGCTTCCTCGCTCACAATTCACTCACAGACGAAGCTCCCGCTCGAGACGTCTGATCGTGTTCACTCACAGACGAGGCTCCCGCCTGAGACTTCCTCTAGACGAGTGTGGGTGTGTGAGTGAGTGTGTAAGTGTGTGTGTGATAATAACTAATGACGGTTGTGACGATGGTGGTGTGATAATGATGATGCTGGTGATGGTGATGATGCTGATGCTGCTGATGATGCGTGATTTGTGATAGTTCAGAATGATTAAGTGAGCCACTCAGTATAGGTGAACGATTGAGTGAGTGAGCAAGTTCTGAGTGCATGAGGGTGATCGGGTGAGTGCGAGGACGAGTGAGTGAGTGATGAATGCTCGTGAGTCAGTGGGTAAAAATATGATGATGCTGTGGTGGTGGTGATGATGATGGTGATGGTAATGTGAGTGTGTGTGTATGTGAGACGAGACGGGGGTGTTCCCATTCCTCTTCCTGCGCGGGGTGTCCGGAGAAAACAAGAACCCCACTTTGGATGTGGGGAACAACGGCATGAACATACAGTTGCGAAGATCCGCGCGGATTTCTTGGATCGGCGCTGGGCACCCCTCCCTGGCGCGCGGAGCGCGCCAGGGGCAGCGCCAGAGGCGTCGCAAGGCCCAGCCCCGATCCCTCAAGCTATTCTTTTGCACTTGTTCTTCTTCGATTTCATCTGCTGGCTCCTTCTGGATAGCGGTCATAAGAGGCGCGCGACTGCCCGACGATCTCCACTCCGAAGCCCTGCCGGCCCATGTCTGCGTACACCGACCCGTTCACGCCGGTGCCGGCGCCAGGGGCAACCACCGCCACCCGGCCTGCCCCCGAGGCCTCCTTGGCCAAAGATGCTGGCGCCGGCTCTTCGCGCGGGGGCAGCTTCATGAGGAAGAACGGGGAGTCCTACAGGGAGGGCCCTCAGAGATCCCGGCGCTGCAATCTTTGCCACGCGTGGAGGGTCTTGCCTTCTTTCGGGCCCTGGGGTTGGGTCGGGCATGTCCCCCTGCAGGCGGATTTCGGGGGAAAGGTTAAAATTGTTCAGAAATGCCCCCCAAATCATAAATAATAGAAAAATCGTCCCGTTTTGTTGTTGTTGTTGTTGTTGTTGTTGTTGTTGTTGTTGTTGTTGTTGTTGTTGTTGTTGTTGTGGTTGTGATATATATATATATATATATATATATACAAAACATGTTTGAATATTCCCCCTGTAGAGGGACAGGCCCGACGTAAGCCTTGTGGGGCCCTCACGAGTCGATCCGGCTCGAGAAATGGCTCGGAAAGATGGGGCCCTGGGGCTCCTGGTGACTTTCTGCGCGGCTGCCACGTTTTGTTGCCAACGTCAGGTCTGAGGCGACGACGCCAACTCGTTAACCCATCTTAACGGGCGAAGAACGGTATACAATAAACTTTTTCGCTGTCTGGGGCGCCTGTCCCTGGGTGGCTGGAAAGTTTACACCCCTACGGTGCCACCGTGGGGGTATAAACTTTCCAGCCGCCCAGGGACAGGCGCCCCCGACAGCGAAACAGTCCTTTTTTTACCGTTCTTCGCTCGCTGACCATCGGTCGGAAGCAGGAGGTAGAAACATGGAGTAGGGAGGAGTTGAACGTACAGTCAGACTCGATTGGGAGACCCTTCCGAGGCCCACATTGCCACAGGAATGTGGGAAGCATGGGTCCCGAGACGCAGGACACAAGGGTACCCTGGATTTGGCAGGGTCGACCTCCTAATCTGGGCCGACTGTAGACTGGATTCCGTCCGCCCCCCAAGGAGGACGGAGAACGTGAAGCCACTCGATCATTGGAGTAGGAAGGCGCTTAAAGTAGATTGGAATCTGGGCATCCCAAAATACCTACTTTCAACGATCGATGGGTATGCACCTACGCCGGGACAGGCGAGGGGGGCTCAGCACCAGCATGGCCGGGATCGGGGTCGAGGTGTATTACTTTAGCGCCGCCCCGAACCCCCCGACTCCATGTGAGCGACGATCAAAAACACACGGGACAAACAACACATACGCCCTTTTTCTCCCCCTCTTCCTCCTCCATCTTCTCCTCCTCCTCATTCTCCTCCCCTTCTCCGCCCTTTCCTCCCCCTTCTCCCCGGGGAGGAAGACCCAGACCCCCTCGCGGCGCCTGCGTGCTTTTCCACAGGGTCTTACGCGAGACGACGTAGTGACCTTACGCGGCGGCTTACGCGGGCCGTCAGCGCGGCACGAGACAGTGATAACGAGGGCGCTTCCGCGCAAGCTTACGCGGGCAGCTTGCGCGCCAACGTCGGAGAAGAGGGCCCCGTTTTCTTTCGTCGCTGTTGCTGAAAGCCTGGGCCCCTCTCCAGAGACCGGCCTTGCACCCCGAGTCACTTTTGGGCCCCATGGCCAGGAAACGGCCGAGAACTCCTGAACACCGTTCGCCGTGACTAGAGGCCTCCCAGATGCTGTCCTAGTCGATGGGATCGGAAGATCGCGCCGCCTCGACGACGCTGGCATGGAGAACAGCGGGCTCCACTCCGGCCCGCATCGTGCATCGGCGATGCGGCACGATCCTTCGACCCCATCTGCTCCGACCCATCTGTAAAAGAGAAACAACGCCATAAACGTAAACTTCTGGCGCTCTGCGCGGATTTCTTGGAGCTGCGCTGGACCACCTTCCCTGGCGCGCGGAGCGCGCCAATGGCGGCGCCGGAGGCGCCGCCAGGGGGCCCAGCGCGGATCCAAGAACTCCGCGCGGAGCGCCAGAAGTTTATGCTCATGGCGCTTTTTCTTCTTCGAATCTGGGAGGCCTGGAGTGGCGCGAGGTGGCCAGGGCCCCTGGAGATCCTTCCCGATCTCGTCGCAGGACTCGCCGGGCCCGCGGCGTCGCACCTCCTGCGCGGCGCTGGGTTCGGCGGCGTCGTCGGCCGCGGGCGCCCGGGAGCCCGGCTCCGCGGAGCGCGCCGCCGGCGAGAGGCTGAGGGGCCGCGAGGCCGTCGTCGACGTGGTCCGTGACCGAGCCTGTAGGGGGCTTTTGCCACGCAGGACCCTCACAAGTCGATCCGGCTCGAAAAATGGTTCAGAAAGATGGGGTCCGGGGCTCCGGTGGTCATTTTCTGCGGCGTGGCCATGTCTTGCCAGCGCCAGATCTGAGGAGAGGGCGCCAACTCGTTATGCTCATGTCGGGCATGTCCTCCTACAGGCGGATTGTGAAAGGAAAGTGAGGCATAGCCCAGAAATCCTACAAAATGACCCAACAATAATTGGAACATTGTCCCCAGACTTGTTTTAGTGATTATTTTTGAATATTCCCCCCTGTGGAGGGACACGCCCGACTTCACTGGTAAGGGGGGTCCTCCCGAGCTGGGCTGGAGCCGTCTGGCCCGCGGTGGGGGACTCTTTTTCGTGGCGTGTCGCGGCGGCGGCCCCGGCGACACGCTGTGCCTTGCGAGTGGATGGCGTGTCGCTCCGCTCTGCGGGGCGGGGGCTTCGGAAAGGCTCGGGGCATTGAAGCCTGGGGGCTGGGAAGTGGATAGCTCTGGAGGTAGGAAAGGGGTATGGCATAAAAGGGGTGTGGTGCTAATTTTATGTAAAGGGGACTCTGGCGATGTTATTCATCGCAGATAGCATCGCCATTTCCACGATTGGCACCATACCCCTTTATGCCACACCCCTTTCCCGACCTCCAGAATAGCGTGTCGCGCCGAAGCGTGGTGGGCCAAGGCCGGCGGAGCGACACGCTGACCTCTGGAGGTCTTTGGTTATTGCCCCCCCCCGTCCCTGCTTCTCTCGGCCGGAAATGAGCTCGCCCCTCCTGCTCCTCCTCCTGCTCCTCGTCCTCCTCCTCCTCCTCCTCCTTCGTCCCTCCTCCTCCTCCTCCTCCCCCTCCTCCTCCTCCTCCTCCTCCTCCTCCTCCTCCTCCTCCTCGCTCCTCGTCCTCGTCCTCCTCCTCCTCCTCCTCCTGCCTTGTGCCGCCGTGCCTGAGTGTGCGGCGGGTGCCGCGGATCACTAATGATTTGCCACTATCGGTGGGACCTCCGCCCGTCAGTCAGGTCGCCGAAAAGACAGGCAGTTGCTAACTATCGGGGGGGTCTAAAGACCTGTTACGGTGGTCCAGAAGTTCCCGACCGTACCGGCATCGCAGCAAGAGATCGTGACGGTCAATGTGGTCTGCGTTGTTGGCCCCACGGAGACCCTTTCCAGGCCAGGGGCTGGTCAAAAGATGGCTCAGGAGGAGCAGCTTCCACCCAGGGAAAGGGGCCGCAATTCCTGGTGGCCCTCGTTACGAACACACTGCGACGTCGGAAGATGTGCGATGAAAAGGCGGCATGCGCAGAAACTTTCGGAGGTGCTCACAGATTTCGGAGGCGCGGCTGGGCAAGGAGGTGCGGGGAGAGGGGCGTCCAGCGCAGGCCCCAGCAATCCGCGCGGACGTCTTCAAGTGCATGTGTACGGCAGGCTCGCGTCGTGTCGACTCCGGCGCTGGTTCCTGACGCTGCGGGGATCTGTTCATTGCTCGAACTTGAATGACCGGCCCTCTCCAAAAGGCCGGCTCGTTCCAGGACTTGCCGATCCTGGGCCCCAGGCGGCGTTCGACCTGGAGCGCCCTCTGCCGGCGGGGTCGCCGCCGGTCGGCGCGACGCGGACCTGCCGTGCTGCTGCTCTCGAAGGTCTTCCGAGCAGACGGGTCCTCGCATCGCATCGCCGATGCTGCGGCGCTGTCGGGGTGGAGGAGGAGGAGGAGGAGGAGGAGGAGGAGGAGGAGGAGGAGGAGGAGGAGGAGGTGGAGGTTGTCGGGCTCTGCATCGCGCCGCATCGGCGATGCGGTGCGGCCCCGGCTGCTCTCCAGCCCTGCTTGGGAGGCCCGGGGGAGCCAGGGGCGTGAAGTCCGCGGTCACGAAGCGCCGATGCTGAGGGGACTGTCGCGCACATGTCACGGGCTGGCTGGCGTCGCGCTTCGACTTCTCGATGGGGAGCTCCCTCTGCATGCTGGCGGCCTCTGGGGTCTCCAGGGCGTGTACGAAGACGGAGAAGACCCGAAGACCTGCCACAGCTACGACCGCGACGTCGAGCAGTGGTCGGTCAGCCCCCAAACACCTCTTGAGCCAAAGCGGCTGCGAGGGAGGCTGGTGGCCTCCGTGAGGACACAGCGAAGACCTGCTCTACGAAAGAGGCAGATTGCAGCAGGGGCGGGCCCGTCATCTGGCACACTTTTCACAGCAAGGGGACGCACCCGCCTCATGTGGTTCCCATCGCACTTAAGGACCACATCCCAGAAGTATTTCCGAGCACCCAGAGAGGTATCGACGCAGTGTCTGCCCGACACGCAAGCGAAGTGTCGAACGAGCATCGCCTCCCAGGGCCCGACACGTGAACAGCCTTCAATTTCGGTACTTTCTTTGTGCCTGAAATTCCTCCTGGTCATCAGGGATAAAGTCGGTTGGAACATCACAACACCAGCCCGCAGTGACCTACAGTATGCACACACGATAAGAGATCTTGCTGCGAGAAGTGGGCGCACCCTTCCTCGGCCGTGGGGAGGAAACGACGACGACGACGACGACGACGACGACGACGACGACGACGACGACGACGAAAAAGACGATGACGACGAACAAAAACTACGACGACGACAACAACGACGACGACTCCGCAGGGTGCCCCTGGCCCCTGCGGCCGACCCCCCTGGAGACGAGCGGGGACGCGCTTCGTGGACGCTTGCCCTGGACAAGCATGTGGACGCGTGGGAACCGCCTCCCCCCCAGACTCGTTAAAGGCTTAACGACTTCTGCCGTCCTTCGACTCGCGCTGGAGCGGCCGCGGAGTGCTCGAACTTTCCCTGGAGATCTCTGGATTTACCTGGATTTACCCAGATTCGTCTAGATTTACCTGGATTGACCTGGATTGACCTCGATTTATCTACACTTACCTGGGTTTCTCTGGCTCGATTCTCACAAGTCGATTGGCGAAAAGCCGACAAGCCCTTAGGGACAGACAGGAACAAAAACGGCAGGCGGCGTGCCCGGAAACACCGGTGGCTTTGGGCCCGGGGGGGGGCCGGGGGCGGACGTCGGCCTCCCCGAGACCCAGGCGGAACGGGGGCCTTCCGAGCACGGGGCCCTCCAAATTGGGGGTGGGCTCGAGCCGGCCCCGCCCCCTCCCCTGTGCCAGGAAGGGGGGGGGGGTGAGCTCGAACCGGGGGGGCCCCCTTCCCCTCCTCCCCGCCTCGCAAGAGCGGGGGGCGGGGGGGGGGGGGGTTCGAACCGCACCCCCCCCCCCCCGTGCAAGGGGGGTGGTTGGGAACCGGGGGGGATGGCCCCCCCCCCGCTGAATGGCAGGGACGACGACGACAGACAACAGACGGCAGGACCACATCACGCGCACTGACCTCGACAGCTCTGGGCGAGGCCGCCTTGGGTAATTCTTGTCCTTTGAGTACGCCCCGAGCACTCCGCAGAAAACAGGAGGGCCGACCTGCCACAGGCGACGTGCCTCGACCTGCAGGCAGCGGGACTGCCGGAGGGACTCAGCATCCGTAGCCACCCGCAGACACCGCACCCAACGGACCAGGCCCTCGAGCGGGGCCACGCCGTGCACTCCCGGCTCGGCCCCGACGCCCGCCGGGAGCCGTGGGGGCCTCCTCCTCCTGCACCCCTGCGCAGAGTGCAGAGACCTCCAGGCCGAGACAGTGGACTTCACTCCGAGCGTTTTCGTAAACAGTGCAGTCAACCCGCAGAGTCAGGAGGCGCGCTAAGGAGGCAAGGCCCTCGGACGCCCATTTCGAAGCGTTTCGAGCGGGCCGCGGCCAATGAAGGCGGTCAAGGATGGGCCGAGAAGGCAGGGATGCAAGGGTACCCTTGGGAAGGTTGCCCATCCTTCCCCTGCGGGTTGACTGCAGTCCAGGCCCAGACCTACGAACATTCTGAGAGCGAAGAGGCTCCGAGAGAACGCCTCCTGATGGGTGTACCCTCGTGCGCCGCACCACGACTGGGGGGCTGGAGGTGTGGAGGGCGCGCTGCCCTCGGCGTTGGAGCAAGGAGCTCACAGACACACTCGGCGAGGCTGGCCGACAGGCAGGAGGGACGAATGAGGAGGAGGAGGAGGAGGAGGAGGAGGAGGAGGAGGAGGAGGAGGAGGAGGAGGAGGAGGAGGGACGAAGGGGGACGAAGGAAGAGGAGGAGGAGGAGGGGAGGAGGGAGGAGGAGGAGGAGGAGGAGGAG